TTGATCATAATCAAATTTTTTTTCCAAATGACTGAATCCTCCGTTGATATTGAAAAAATGAAAGTTCGTGAGGTCTATTTAACGTAGAGAATTTAAAATTTGAAAAAAAGTTAACTTTTGACAAAGTTATGGGCTCACACAGGGTAGCGGTCCGGAATTGGGGTTCGTCCCTTATAAAAGTCCATAAAAATCGAACAGCTAAGTTTTATGCATAAGAGCATTCATAATCAATATAGTAGATAAGTTTCATTTCTTGAATTATATAAATTGTTAATCAAAGCATATAATCAAAATAAAATAAGTTTCAATTTCAATTTCGTTAAATTTAAACGTAAATTCAAACTAGGTTAATTTTACATTTTCAATTTCTACTATGTTAATCAAAATAATTCAATAATTTTTATCATTTTCATTTCTATTATTTTAAACAAAACAAATCAGTAATATTTTATCATTTTTAAACAGTAAATTTTCATATTAAAATCGAATTTATCTTTTGTTAAACAAAGTAAGTTCATTAAAAATCTATTGAAAAAATATAAATTGAAAAAAAATTAAAACGAAAAAAAAAATGTAAAAGAAAAAAACAAAAAAATAGCAAAACGACGTAAACGACTGTAATTTTTTTTTTAAATAAAATTAAAGTTTTTAAAAAACAGGGAACTAGGGAACTAGGCCACCCCCTTTTTAAAGAAGTTAGCTTTAATTCCATTTTAAAAAAATTGTAAAAAAAGGGAGGTGTAATATGCGACACGAATATGTTAATAAAGACACACGACAGTTAGTCTGTCGTCGCACCTCACACTTAACACATCGTCTTTGATTGCACTCATTACATATATCAGACTCGCACGTGCACACACAGTATTGCACATAGTATCATACATACTACATATCTATACCTTTATATCATTCTATTGAATTGAGTGAGGCTGCTGACGAATGGAAATGGAATAAACTGGAATGGATTGCCGCTCAATCTGCATCGAGCAAATCGATTATGATTTTCAAGCCGAATCGATCATTATTTACATATCAATTGCCGACCAGTGATAGTCCGCTAAGCATAAAAGGAGGTATTTCAGCATTCAACTGAGTTCAATTCAATTGACATTTTTATCGAAATATCCGGTTGCTTACATATGCCACGTTCTTTTTTCTCCCAAACAGAACCAATAGAAATCAGTTTCGCATTGGAAAACACCATTAAACCGCCGATCACATTTGACGATATCAATTTGCTGTGGACATTTACAAATCAAAATGGCGAAGTATTTACGAATCGAAATATTTTCAAAAACGACGTTGGCACCGAAGATCGAAGCAGCATTTATACCATTGTAGCCTCCACATTCATCAAACAGATTAAATTGAATTAACACGAGAAAAAAGTGCTTGTAATGAAATTGACGCCACATCATATCGGAAATAACCTCGTGCAGCTTGGCGTCATTTCCTCCACTTCCATATGTTTGCAATGATGTTTGAACTTTGACAAGCAAGCTTCTATAATACAAATTAAATGCGAGTGGAGACGCCACAAAAATGACTCCAAAATCGTCGATTAATGATCGAACTACTTTGGATATACAAGCAGTAGTTGGAAAATTGGTGAGAATATGCCATAAACAAAATGAGTGGAATAATTTCTAAATTCGAGTAATTTCCATTGGGCCACAAAGGAGACATCCAGTCTATGGGGAAAAATTGATTTTGAGGCACCTGTCATTAAACCAGATGGACCATCGGCAGCTGATAAACCATCTCAATATGATAAGAAATAAAATTTAGCAATACTACCACCAGCACCCGCTCTTCATGTCAGCTTTACACAAATAGCGACCGAAGTGTTGGCTGGCGAAATTATACCGATCACCGTTTATTTGACCAACGCTGGTGCCGAGTCATTGAACGACATTTGGGTAGTGGCCGATGAACCGAGATGGATTTTAGGCAAATTAAATAGTCAAGAGTTACCATTATCACTTCTTAGAGGTAAATTTGAATAAGAATGTGATTGCTCTACTTAACATTTTGGTCTGAACAAATTTTTTCGTTCGAATCTTCTGATTCTTCGAAAATCAAACCGCCGATCAATATTTTTTGTCATTTAGATTTTAGCGATCTAACCAATGAAGCGTTAAGCCGCGAAAGGTGGCGTGTAAACAACATGCATTTAAATTATTCCCATCAACTGGCGGTACTTTGCAGCCGAAGGAAGGTAAAACTAATAAAACAAATTGATTATATTTAAAACACATGTGTTTCCCATTAAGATGATAAATGACGCATAAAAGGCACGAGTATCGGGTGTTTTTATTATTTTCAGAATATATACGCACCAATAGCGACTGATTAAATCCTGAAAAAGAACGTTTGACAAGCTTTTATATTGTTATTCCATTGATGAGAGTATGTGAATGATGTATTTTAGGACAATTTCAGAAAATTGTTTAGTCGTATCACTTTGTGTCATAAACTTCATAAATAATCTACCGTGTACCAATATTACCTGTTCTAGATACACGCAGACGATATTAAATCTCTGATTTTGGGGAAAAGAATCTAATGCGAATAATTTGTGTACGATGATAATGTAAATTGTAGCATTTACAGTTGATTTTTCAAGTTGCCTTATTTAAAATTATAATCAATTGAGATGATTGACTTGCTTTCCGACCATGCTGATAAAACATTGTAAGGTCTGACTGAGAGAGAATGTTTTTTTTAATTGTCAAAAGCCGCAAAATTCGAAAGATATTTTTATTTAATTTTATTCAAAATTTTAAGAGAAACATTTTGAAAAAAAATGATGGTTGATTTTTCAACGGAAAAGTGAATCGAGAAATTCATCGTCACTTTCTTCAGCTTCTTCAGGGATGCTGGACAGGCTTGGTGTGACAGAGACACGGCGTGGTCTTGATTTGATCGAAGCAATGGCCAATCGTAATTCATCCGATGTAATTTCCCGATTTATATTTGAGTCGACCGACATGGAACTTGGCCGACCGGTCATGCTGAATGGTGTATTCGCGAGCCGTTCAAAAGGTTCAAAGTCATTGAAAAGTTGAGGTCGAGCCTTGTTGATTTTACCAACTGTTGCAACAACCTTTGGAGTATCTTCGTCGACTGTCAATGAATAAATTGAGAAAATGAGTAAAATTTAATACAATATACATTTGAGACAATTAAAAACTCACCAGCGTGGTGGGCAACTTGATCATCGTCGGCTTCATCGAATAGATATTCTAAACCATCGTACCCATCGTACTCGTTGTTAGCTATCAATGAATCCAATGAATCATATTCGTCGACCACTGCAATGGTTGCCGGATCATGATGTGTTGTCTGATCGAATAAAAATTCCACACCGTCCAAACCATCGTATTCATCGTTCTGATCAAATAAATATTCCAGACCGTCCAAACCATCGTATTCGTCAAAACTGAACGAAAAATAATCGGTCGGGTCGACCGTTGCAATGGTCAGCGCCGCCAAATCGTCGGCTTCATCGGCTTCGAGCAAACCATCGTTTGAGTCATCCGAGTCATCCGATTGTAAATATTCAATATTTTCATATTGAATTGGGCTCGTTGGACGCTTTGCGATGGTTTCGTTGCGAGCATTTCTGACACCGCTGGGGCCAGCACCTTCGTTTATACGGAATTGAGACGGTTTCGGGCGATCTTTCACTTGGTTGCGAGCATTGCTGACACCGCTGGGACCGGCACCTTCGTTTACACGGAATTGAGACGGTTTCGGGCGTTCGGCCACTTGCACCTGATTTGACCGTGGAATTTTTCTGAAGTAATCGTATCCGGCTTCGCGCACCTAGGGGAATTTCTCATCGGAATAGTTTGAAACATCTCAGGCAGTTTCACAAAACTTCAATGTAGTCAGATAGTTCACACAGTTTCTAGTAAATCTGCTGCAGTCAGTATAAATTTCTCTTTTTATGTGAACCAGATGTCATTGATTTCACTGAATTCATAAAGATGTGTGAAACTGTGGAAGATGTGAGAGATGTCGGAATTTGAAATGTCATCTGCATTGCCGACTTTGTATACTCTATTGTATACGTGAGTGTAGACTTGAAAGAACCGTCAAGGCATTGGTTTATTTCAGAATTCATTTCATTTTTGGTCATGTCGAGAGTAAGTAACGTCTTTGTGCGGTTAGAAAAATTTATTGGCTCAAAGTATCCGTCTTTTCTAAAAAATATTTTATTGAACTTTGGTTTTGATTGTGAATCCGCTTTAATTTTATTGAACGAAGATAAGATTACAAAAATTGAGCGTGATTTGGTCACAAACCCAGAACTATTAAAGAATACGGTATACGATAAAAAAAACTCTAAATCCAAATGACGAGTTCAAATTTTTAATCGGACACCGTGAGCTCTTATTAAATATACCAGAAACAATAAGACAAAAAAATCAAAAGACTCAAGAGAAAAAAAGGAGAAAAAATAATAAAAAACCACAATCGAACGAAGAATCGGGCACAGAGCTAGGTACAGAGTTGGACGTTGAAGTTTTGAGCAAACGATTGATAACAAAAATAAATTCATTTTTTGAAAATAAAAATTTCGATTGTGAAATTACCGTTGAGCATATTGACCTTTTGACTTTGACCGATGACGGTGCGGAATGTACAGTGAAGTGTTTGTTCTGTGACTTAAGTATTAAAAATCTGTACAAATCAAATTGGCACATAAGTAATTACATTCAGCACACATTACGGCATTCCGAATTAATAAAACTACGACCAAAAGCCCAGCTAAATCAAAATTCAAATCAAAATCCCACCCAAATTCAGCCTGGCTTCCAGCGTGCAAATGAAAATGTTCTAACGGTTGTTGAACAAATTTTGAGGTAGGTTGGGAGGTACAACCGAAAAAATCAACTTGATCGATTTAATTATTTTATGATTGAAATCAAAATAATTTAAAAACTCTTGACAATAATAGAACAATCGAATTATTTCTCTTAAACAGCACGAAAAACAATAAATAATTGACTGTATTTGACAACTTAACCTCAAAAAAAAGCACTGTATCGAAAATCATCAGCATGTACTTTGTCATATTCATTTTGGGTGCAAAACAAAATGTGATTGTTCCACATTCGTGGATCAATGACATTGAACTATACCTCGAAGAATTTATGAATAACGGCGTGCGATCAAATACAAAGTTCAAAACATTTTGGTCTGAAGAAGAAGAGGCTATGAGCGCTGATGGTATTCCACTGGCGTCGTACATGCCTATTCGGTTCGACACATTGGCTATGCGTAGACGTGTGTTCAGATTTCCAGAGGAAGGGTGGTATGACTGCAAAATTCGACACGTTAATTGTAAGTTTAGTGAATAGTCTTGTGTAGTAATTCGAGTTGAAAAAATATTTCCCAGATGTAGTTTTGAATTCTTTCCCAATCAAACTAAAATTGCCGTTTTTGATTTAGTGAGTTTTGCCGAGGCGGTATCGTATAACAAGAAACGTCGACGTACTTCACCTGTATGTTACAATCCTGCAAAAATGTGCAGACCAAGATCAAATGGTGGATCGCGTTCAAAGGCCACAAGATTGGCAAGTTTTTTCGGAAGTACCGCCCGATCAACGCAACGACAATCAACATTGAATGATTTTATTAACACAGTGTCTGCCACCTCTGTTAATTCAGGTAATTGATGAAAATAGATTTTTCATATCACAATTTGTTTCTAAAAAGACTTGAATTAGATTCCAAAATATTCCTAGAAATATTCTAGGAAATACAACCCAAAATATTTGATTTAATTTAATTTTGGTTTCTATTCTCAGAAGAGTCTAGAGAAGTGACTACGTCAACGATGGTCACAACGCATGCTGATGATTTTACTGTCGAAACATTTGTTGAGTTTGATTATGATCAAAACCTAGATACCCATGAGCAAAACGTTGTATCCGGCGATGCTACCAGTGCTCAAAACGGTCTAGAAAGCGGTCCTTCAAGTGGTTCCAGCAACGTGCATGATGAAACTGACACTAAATCAGTATATCAAGTACCATCTCAACCGATATTCAGTTATTCTGATGTGCATGCTGCAGAAATAGAGCAGCTTATGCAAAACCATCTGGCAAGCTCACGTCGAAATTCAGAGCAAGTCGAAAACATACAAGTTCAGCCTTCAGCTCAGTTTCAACCGAATCAAGAATCGAACAGCCAAGTGCAAGACACAGCGAACAGCAACATTCCAAGCCAAGTTCCACAAGCTCAAGTTCTTGCTCAGGTTCAAGTGAATATACAACAGAACGACAACTACGAGCTAGACTACGAGAGCGATGAAGACGATTTCTTGATGATTGATGAAATTATGCCCCGTCCACTACATTCAACGGCACAAGGTTTGGTGAAACACAAAGACGATGAAGTATCAGGAGATATGCCCTACATAATAACGGTGAGTGTTGTATGAATCCAATCTATTCTAATTGTTGTTTGCTCAAAACCTCATCGAACCAAATCTAGAACCATACATTTTTAATAAGGTATCTCATATGGGAACCAAACAATTTTGTATTAGGTTCTGGTACAAAAGTTTTTGGTTCCCACACAAGAATTTCATTGAAAAATTTTTGGTTCCAATGGGTTCCACAGCTAATCTCCCTTTTACTTCATGGCAGGGCTTTTTAGTTTTGAAGAAGATATAAAGAAGAATGTTGTGCTATATTTAATTAATCCTTTTCGTGATATAGAAACGTGGACGTGTCTATGAAATTGGGGGTAAACTCATCGAGATAAATGTTGATGTTTTGAATACACTGAAGACATGGAATTCACATGAAGAAGGTGATTCGCGCAATGATACATCTTGTGATTTTCGATTTGCTCTGACTGCTCTTCTTTCGATTCTATCGCCCGATAATGTGAAGAAAGGAGATTTTGACCGTGAAGCTATGAATTTTCTCACCGGTGAGTTTAAGAATTTTTTTTTAGAAATAATATCCATTACCAATATTTTGTTCTTGAATTCATTTATCTAATTCGATTTCGCTCATCCAAAAATTCATTTGCAGATTTGTTAAAGTTGCGAACAGACAACAATCAAGAACGGATTGAAAACTGCAAACAACAGATTTTGAATTATTTGATCGAGCAGCGAAAGACTTCTTGAGAATCAGACACACAACTCCAAATCAGACACACAACTCTAGCCACCAAATGAATTTATATCGTATTGTCACCACTTTAATTCAATTTATATCGTATTGTCTCCAGAGTAAAAAATATTTCAATTTTCAAATGTAAAGACTAATACTATAAATACTATAGTAATAATACTTGAGTCAAAAGTGATATTTTCCAAAATTTATTCGTCAGTCGATTCTAATTTTCAAACATAAGATTTGTCTAAGTTTTCGGCCTCACTAGCGGCCTCACTAGCGGTCTCATGTAATTTTGTTGATCAAAAGGAATATAAATAATAAAACTAAGACAATAACATATTGAACTATTTTAAAATTTTTATATAAGATATGAATGAAAGCAAAGAAAAATGATAGCATAGCCAAATCGCCTCGAAATATTGAACTTTGGAACAGCGATGGTTCAATGAAAATAGTACGTATGGTACTAATAGCTCATTTATTTAGATGTCAACTTATTCCAAAGGTAAGCTGAGCTGATAGACTGAAGATGGTGCAATAAATTGCTTTCGAACGAATTTAACTTGACTAGCCCAATGCAATGAGTTGAATAAAGTAACTCTAACTCTCTTCAAATCAGATCAATCAACAAATGCGAATGGACTATTCAATAAGTTTGGCGGACGCTGAATTTTTATTCTAGTTATTTATGTTTTTTTTCGCCAAGCGATTTCTTTTCATGTGGTGGTAAATTTGCTAGAAATCGAATACTTCTTCTCTAAATAAACAAATTTATTAGTCAATGAATTAGAATGATTGCCATTTACATTTAGAACAACAAATGAAAATTCATATAAAATTGGAAATTTGAGTTTTAGTTTCAGTTTTATTTATCTTTCAATTTTCAGACCAATGTTCGTCATGTGTTACACAAATCATTTTACTATTTAATCTGTCATGATTGTACTTTATTTCGAGTAGTCTCTATTTCTTCGCCATTTGTGGAGTTTGTTACTGGCGTCGTTATAGAACATCGCAAGTTGCTCTCGTCTTTCCTTAGTCATTTCACTTGTTGTGAATATATCACTACTGACGGTTGACTCAGAACTTATTTCCATAAGACGTAAGTTGATGGTGGAATCGATGTCCTTTTTTGTGCAATCGTCTTTCAAATTTAAAAATGTCAGCAATGATGGGATTGATCTATCTTCTGGCAGTTTATCTTGATGTTGTTTACTCTCAACCATAGTAACGCGAGTTTTTATTTTGGACACTTCGATTTCATTTTTCCTTCTGGATTCTTCTAACACATTAAAACCATGATGCAAACGTTCTAGCAATTGTTCCTGAGCGCTAGCCACTGTGCTAGTCTGCGCGATCATTGTAAGTGAATTTTGGTGGCGGTTAACGAAAGTATGCGCTCGGAAGGGACTTCGAGGACGTCTAGAAGAACGTTTCTGATTTTCTTTTCTGCTTGGTCGTCCCATTTTCATAGTTTCGAAGTGTTTCCGCCGAATATGATCATCCAGGTATGCTGGTCTTTTTGTTGCGAAATCACATAATGCACATTTTAATTTATCCCCTCTGTGCTGTTCTTTTTGGTGTCGCTCTAACCCTTTTTTTGTTATGGTTTTGCCGCAATCCGGGCATTCTGTTGTCGGCAGACTCTTCGAAGATCGACTGGATTTGGTTGGGCGCACCTTAGCTTTCTTCGACATCTCCTTGGCAGATTGCTTTGATTTGATTTCACATAACTTTTTTGATAGCTTTTTTGGCACTTTTTTGGAGGATTCGATTTGGCACACATTGGCTTCCTTCGGCATCTCCTTGTCAGATTGTTCCGTTTCGATCGTCCTCAATTGTCTCAGCATTATGCTTTACGGTATTACCAAACATTTCGATATCACAACGTATGGCACTGATTTTCTGTCCCCAGTTGATTCCATTGACAAGGGAATCGACATGAATATGCATCGGTATGACAAGCTCAGAATAGCAGGCGGTTGGCACAGTTGTAAGCAAATTGATTGTGTTCGACCATAGCTCGATATGTTTTTCCTCTGACGCAGCACGAAGCAGCAACAAATCATGTAATACAACGGCCAATCCACGGAATTGAATATCTCCGATTTTCTCGGTAGCAACCGAAGTGAAATTGAATAGCACCTTCATAATTTCAATTACTAAATTGACTTGGCGATCGTTCAGTTCTTGGGGTCTATTCTGGAGGCTAGTCTGGAGGTTGAATTGTTCTTTGATCATTAATTCAATCATTCTCACCAGGCAAATCAGACCATTTTGATCATCTCGAACCTTAGTGCGCCCATCGGGATCTATCGCCGTTATTAAGAATAACAACTTCATATCGAAATATTGCATATCCCATGTAAGATTTTTATCCCTGCAAAAAAACACAAAAAATCGGAAAAATTTCAATTTTATTCAAAATCTCATAAGTTCAGTGTAATTTAATCGGTCAATTCCTCGCTAGAGGAATTCAGAAAGTTGAGAGATAAAAGAAAAAAAATTGTTTCATTACAAATCTATGAACACACCTGTAGATACTAATGCTAGTACTAATGTAGGTTCTTAATCGACGCACGATGCCATTGATAGCCTCACTTTTCAAGCATATAATTCGGCAGTTATTGCTTTCGTATACCAAATTGTATAAGCATTTGAGTGCTTCAACGACAATGGCCGAATCGTTGATGTCTTGGTTGATGTCTTCTTTATTGGTGCGTCCAATGTTGGCAATATTTAGCAGTGTATCGAATTGATCAACGGTTATCGTTTCATTTAATTGCTTTTTGTTGCGTGATAATATTTGAATCGCAGCCAAACTATCTCGATGAATGCTGAATGCTTCCATACTTCCTTCACTTTCGCTACTTAGTTCACTTCTGGGCACTTGCAAAAAGTTGAATGTTGATTTCCAAACGACGTTGCATTGGTTCTCTGTTGCAGTAAGATCAGACGAATTCGAATACTATCAAAGACATAGTAAACATTACATGTATTTCCTTATTTTTAGCGCTATTTCAGTATCCAACTGATGGTTACATTGGTTCGTGAAGACAAACGAAAATGATATAAATGAATAATTCACCTGCGCTACGAAATACTGCAAATCTTCCTTTCCCCTAGCCTTTCCCATTTGCTGCACATTTTCCTTCATCATTCTATAGAATGTTCTTAGTTTCAATCAAATCACTCTAAAACCTAGTCTAAAACGCACTTCCCTTTTTTCTATGTTGTACACAATGAAATTTTATGCTTCAATTAGCAATTGAAATGTAGATCGGAATGAAATCGCCAACAATATTCCTTGAAATATGCCAACTAACATGCCAAAAAAAACAAAATGCTAGAGAAAACAATTTAGTCAATGTTCTGCGAATATTTTGACGCTGCATTCAATGTTGAAATATTAATGCCTTTGCGTTTGCGTTGACAACTAGTTTGACAGTTCTGTGGAGAGTTCAGTTTTATGCTGTTTTTGGTCCAGTCCACATTGTTGCACACAAACACAAACACAAGCATATAACTATAAATGCGCATAGATTAAGAAGTCGACGTCAACAATAACGAAATTGTTTAATGGCTGCCATTTTTTTCGTGTACTTTGTTGGTTTTAGCTGCACATAAGAAAACTATTAAGTCTAGTATTAAGTCTAGCGAATTCTTTGTCTGCATAGCATTTGAATAGCAAAAAAGGACTTTGAACGTAGTTTTGACAGTATTATAGTTTTTAGTTTCGAAAAGTCAACGTTTATTGTTGTTTTGTGTTTCCCTAGGTGTTTCCATACATCGCCATACAAAGGCAGATATGGCTAAAAATAAAATATTTGGTATCGACCTCGGAACGACCAATTCGCTGATCGCATTTTGGGATCACGGCAAAGTAAACGTGTTAGCTAATGAGTATGGAGAAACCACAACACCGTCATGCGTAGGTTTTACGAAATCGGGTGTTTCAATTGGGAAGAATGCCATTAAGCAACAAGAAGAAAATCCAGAAAACACGATTTTCGAATCAAAAAGAGCAATTGGGCGCACTAGCCCATCACCGAAGGCAAACATCCAAAATTCAAAGTCGTTGTAGATGACTCAGAAAGACAAATAAGCCCAGAAGAAGTCGCAGCGATTATTTTAACGAAATTAAAAGACATCGCCACTGCTCGCGGACAACAGGTAAGCAAAAACCCTGTCATCTTCATAGTATGCTCGCATTGAACATAAGATTATATTGCGTTCAGTACTAAAATTTACACGTTTTTTTCGTTTTTTTTACTAGGTCAAAGATGTGGTCATTACAGTGCCGGCATACTTTTCCGAAGACCAAAGGAATTCAACGAAAATCGCCGGTGAAATGGTTGGTCTGAACGTGTTAAAAATCATCCCAGAGCCAGTAGCAGCCGCTCTGGCATTTGGATTTGCATCGGGCTGTGGCCTAGAGGGGAAGGTCTTGGTTTATGATTTAGGTAAGTAAAATCTAGAGTAAAATAACCTCAGAAAATTGTTTGTTTGGTTCTAAAGGGTGTATTCCCATACGACAACGGCAGTCCCTAGGCTGCTCCAAATACAGCTGACGACTCTTGCTCGGAACCCAATGGAACCAAAAAATTTTATATGGAATTCTCATGCGACAACCAAAAACTTTTAGGTCAGAACCTGATGCAAAAGTGTTTGGTTCTCAGTGGAAATCCTAAATAAAAGTTTTTGGTTCCATGTACAGTCCCCATTTCAATATACTTATTAAGATATATTTTGTTTTCAGGTGGCGGCACTTTTGACATTGCCATTGTCGATATTAGCTCGACCGGGTGTTACCATGTATTGTCCACCAATGGTAACACACACCTGGGGAGTGCAAATTTTATCGGCCGGTTAATGAATTATACTGTCAAAAGACTTGGCAAAGAAACACACGCTACAATGTTAATGATTCGCACAGCTTGCGAAAAGGCCATCAAACAATTGTCGTCGGTTGAGAGCGCAGAAATCAACATCGGCGACAACAGCATTACAATAACACGTGGCGAGTATGAACGAATGATAAGCGGATATGTCGCATCAGCAATGGAATGTGTCAAAAATGCCCTCCACGACGCCGATGTCGAAAAAGATGAAATAAGCAAAGTCGTTCTGGTGGGCGGGTGCTCTCAAACTCCCTTCATCAGAACATGTCTCAAGGATTTTTTTGAAAAGGATTTGTCAACAGAAGTCAATCCTATGGAGGCGATCGCTCACGGTGCGTGCATTTATGGTGCGGTCCTGAAGAAAATGCCGGGCGCACCAAACATGTATTTGCGTAACTCAACACCACTTACCATTGGCTTGGTTGGACCGAACAAAGTATGTACTCCGTTAATACCCCGCAACACGCCATTTCCAGTGGAAGAACCAAGGAATGGGTGCACGTCGAAAGATAACCAACAAAGAGCCAGATTCGAAGTTTTTGAGGGAGAAAATTTGCATCTGGATGGCAACACAATTTTGGGATCAATGTGTATGGAAGGCATTCACCCAGCACCAAAACACGAAGAAAAATTCAAAGTCTGGCTGAAAATAAATGAAGATGGCGTGATTTCAGCTCGGACAAAGTATCTGCGCTCGAATGAGGAAAAAGAGCTTGTAATTGATCGGCCAAACAAGTTCACCAGTGAAGAATTAGCACAGATGTCTCGGTGGGTAGCACAACTTCAAAGAGATGTTCAGCCATCATCTTCCCCTTTGGTATCTTCCCAACCGAAAAAAAAGCGCTCTAGAAAGGGCTCGAAACTCAAAAAAAGAAACATTGAAGCTAGCACTGAAGAAGGTGAAGAAGTTCGATGCCCAATTTATGGTGGTGGTTTGAACGCGATGAATTGCGAATCCAGTGAATTCGTAGTGGAAGATTAGTCTAAAGAATAGCTAGAAGAATAGTTCAGTTTAATCGGGCCCTGCCGGTTTCAGAATCGATCTCTTTCTCAGTTGGTAACGTAACGATATAACCTAGGATATAACTCACAATATAACAATGAACCAATCGGATCCGTATCGAATACTTATTTGCCTTTATTAACGAACTATTCTGTAAACTTGCAGTCAACTTAAATTTCAATTTTTGCTGAAAAGTGAAACCAAAAAAATTGATTCGTATAATACATGTCAAATGCCTATCCAAAAAATGAAAAGTTAATAAAATCTCGTTAAATCTCATTACTAATTCAACAAAAATTCGCACCTTTTTTGTTTTGAATTTGAATCTGTTTCAACTAGAATTTGAATGGCAATCAATCTAATTCATTGTGGAGATTGGTAAGATGATTGTTAACGACTCTTGTTTGGAACCCAATGGAACCAAAAATTTTATATGGAATTCTCACGCGACAACCAAAAACTTTTACATCAGAACCTGATGCAAAAGTGTTTGGTTCTCACGAGGAAATACTTTATACAAGTTTTTGGTTCCATGAGGTACGGGAAATATATGTACACCACAGGCCATAAGTTTGGATACCCCTATGAAACGTTTGTTTCTACGTTTTTTGAACATTTTCACTTGAAATTTAGTATTGGATATGAAAGTATATCGAAATTCTGACCGAATGGATGATTTGGAAGATAACATTTGGCCGGCCTATGGCCATCTTTTGGCCTTTGAGCTGTGGAAGCCAAAACCGAAGTCTTAAACGGGCCAACGGATTAAAAAGTTATATACGCCATTGGAAAGATCTTGAAAAGTAGACGTGATTTGTGGTATTAAACATCAAAATCGGCCGGCGTTTGGCCTAGATATGGCCGTTTGTAATTTTTGGCCGAAATCTTCAATCAGCCATATCTTGGCCAAAAGCTGGCCGATTTTGATGTTTAATACCAAAAATGATACGTACTCTCCGAGACCTTTCCAACGACGTATAGCATGTTGAAATTGGACAAGCGGTTTGAAATTTAAAAATTTTGGGCCAAATTCATTCATAGGGGTATCCAAACTTATGGCCTGTGGTGTATCTTTCCATACAAAGACCATATTTTATTTACCATTTCTATTCGTGCTTCAAGTGGGGGAGTTCATTTAACGTAAGTTAATTGCGAGAGATATTTGGAATAAACAAAAATCTATTGTAAATTAAAATGTTTATTTTGATTGTTTGAATCATACAATATTCTTAACATGATTGATCAGTTTTTCTCAAATGAGGTTGTAGGTTTTTTGTTTACTTCTTGGTTCAATTCGGTAATTAATCTTATCAGCTCAGGGTTCCCACATGGTAATAAATAAACAATTCTGCCAGAGTTGTCGTCCTTTCTTTTTTCGGGTTTTGCCACCGTTGCAAAGTAATTTTTCAAAGCAAACTTTCCAATGTTTTCAATTGGGCTAAGAATGCCATTTTCATCACAAGTGTAAAAAACGCCCAATACATAAATGTCACTGGTATTAGCATCAAACCCGAGTTCTAACCTAAGTTCTTTCGATACTGTTTGATTTTTTTCTGTGTTGACAGGAACATAACTCGATTTATATTGCTTCCAACGTCCTTTCTCACGAGATTTCTTATCAAGTATTTTGAATCCGGTTATCAAACAAATTTTGTAGTTACGTATATCAGAGACATTTTGAATATCATCAGCTTTGAATATAGCCCATTGGCTGATTTTTAATTGATCTGATTTGAAGAGAGCTGTACTTGATTCATTGGGTTGATCGAGCTTTAATCGTTTAGCGGCACTTCCTTGCACTCTTTTGAGTCTATCGGAGCTCAGCCTATCTTTGGAATCAGTTAAAATCCAAATCAATGTGCTCTTTGGCACTACTTTAACTGAACCATCTTCGTTCCAAACTTCAATATTTCGATGCGATTCGGCTGTGCTGTCTTTATCCTTGTTTTCATTTGGATCGTTTATGCTGCATTCATCTTCATCGGGCTCTTGCAATATTTCATCTAACAAGTCGTCATTTGTATTCAATTCACAATCTATAATGTCATCTGGTGTTAGGCAAATTCCGAATTTTTCAGCTTGCGCCAAAGCATCTGCCAGGGCCTTATTCATAGCTTCCGAAATCTGTTCATCTGATGGCAAAATAGGTTCTACAATTTTCGATGTAGTTTCTAATGACGATTGAATTCTCGGAAATACGATTTCTGGATATGAATAACATATTTTATTTGTCATTTCGACTCGTGCTTGTAAGTGGAGGAGTTCATTTAACGTAAAGTTGATTTTCGTGAATTGGACTGTGCCCATTGAGCGACAAAGCCGAAATAGGTGCTCGCATGGCTGACTCGCGAATTTATTAGGCAGGAACATGTTTTGAGAAGATCGCAGTTTTACAGTTAGATGAACCAGGGCATGAGCATTGATTTCCACACACATAAATGCGTTAGCTGAAATGAAATTTTCAGCCAGCGTCTGATTTTTGGATTTTTTTTATCGATTTTCGCCAACAACGCAAGAAATACAATGCATTCCAAATCCTGTATATCCTTTCAATTGGATCTAAATTTTCGTCAATAAAACTGGAAACTATTTGTTTACAAAGCTTGAGGTATGTAAGAGTTGCGTTACAATTCGGTACATGGTTTTCAAGCGCTTGAATCACACGATCATCCATTATCTTTTCAAGTGCTTTGAAATTCTGTCTATCTTCGGGATATAAATCGGTATGAACCAAACCGTGAATTTCCTTACTGACTTCATCTAAAAGCATTTTAATGTGGACAATAGTTGCAATTTGATTTCCAATACAAAGAACAATTGATGAGTTCAACAAACGATTCCTTAGTTTAGTACCAATATGGATCATGTCTTGAACGCAAGCTGGATTCAAAATAATTTGTTCTAGGATTCGTTTTATAACATCGATGTTTGGTTTCATATCAAATAAAGTTATACTCTTCATTGCTCTCAAAAGTCGTCCATCACCGTCTGAAGAAAATCCAATTACCTCAATTTCATATCTACAGGAGATGTAAAGTAAATTTGCACAAAGTAAGTGGACTGGTATAACAAATTAATAAATAAAGAACGACTTAGCGTCTTTGTCAAATGAAAAGAAAAGAGAGATAACCTAGAAAATAACTTTTTGTAGCAAAGTTATAGAAAACTAACCTTTTTAACTCATTTACAATGTATTTCCACCGCTTTAGTACATGACCAGTATCAAACTTGTTATTGGTTCCAAATATTTGTAGAACAAACGGAGGTGCATTTCTTTGTAGTGGCTGTGCTACAACGATGTAAACCAATGAAGATTGAGGTAACTTCATATAATTTCTTATATCTTCTTCTGATTTCGCTTCAAACGAAAATGTTCGCGGCATGCCGTTTGTTTCATTGAATGGTAAAACAAGTCCAATCATTTGGTTCGTAGCAGAATCGTAGACTACCTTTTGGATTATGCCTGACCCATCCTCTGACAAAAATACTGCTTTAGGAGATTTTGTCAATTCTAGATGTTTTAACAGCTGTTTAGATCTTAACTCTCCTTCTATTATTCTATCCTTTTCCGAATGTATGTGTTTCACTGTGATAAGGGATTAATGAACAAAATGATTAAGTAAGTATGTTATTCGCAGTCTACATTAAGATAGTTTTACGTACTGATTGTGTTTGCTTTTGGAATTGGGAGGTTAGTCGAAATGACCTCATAACAAGCTTTTCCACCCATGATGTACAAATACAATGAAAAATCCATCAACATTTTTGAAAATCTTCTTGCATTTTGAGATTTATCTTGATTTGTAAGGGCGGATCGGATAATTTCTCTCATTATTTGGGAAAACGCTGGATGATTTGTCAGTTCAGCTTCTTTTCGACTAGTGCTCGGACCACTATGACATTTGGACAGCTCGTCACACCATTGAACAATCAATGATCGATGTCCCATAAGTATTTTAAATTTTGGTTGTGTATTATAGATTTTTGAATGACTACATTTCAATTCTTTGATTATATTAGGGTTCTTTTGTATTTCGGTTTCTAATCGATTTAATGTCTCTTCATTTACGTTCAATAAACTATGCAAAGTTTCAAATCCGTTTTGTATCAACATTTCTTTCAAACATTCGCAACCAAGGAATTTTTTCCACAAGTTAACATCTATATTTCGATCCTAAAATATTCAATATAATAAAAAATATAATAAAATAATTTAAAATTAAAAAAATATACAAATTTCAATCGAATTTACCATTTTTGTTCATTTTTTCACGTTTCAAGTGAAATTTGACGTTTGACGTTCGTATGAATATGGTCGGTAACGCAGATTGCGTAAGTATACAATATACACACAAATCTACGTACATCTACAAAAAGCAAGCAAATCCGCCACAGTTCGTTAAAAGCATAGAAGTTTTTCTCAGTTTACGCAGTTTCAATGTGAGAAATTCCCCTAGTCGCGCACTGTGTCTTCAATCAAAAATAAATTTCTTGATGAAGCGACGGATGCTCGGCGCTGCATGGTCGGTTCGGTTTGCTTCAAGAAGCTCATCGAATCAGCCAAAATATTTCGTGGTAATTCCACAACCAATTCACGTTCACGAGTTATGCCGTGTAGTTTTAACAAACGCGATGTTTGCCGGGTAGCTGTGTATTATTTAAATAAATTGTGGTTATGTTCACTTTTACACGTTCGATATTTTTTGCATTTTTTTTCTCAATAAAATCAACAGAAAAAGCTATTGCAATAGTTTTAACTTTGTGACGAAATAATAACACTTACTCATTTGACGAACGTATTTACGCTGAATTGTGGGACCTCGAACACGTCGACCACCATGAGCACCTTGAGCACCTCGAGCACCCCGGCCAGAACCATGCGGCATACGGTATTCGGGATCTGAACACCCAGAACTCCCGGCTCCTCCACGACCACGATTTCCTCGACTACCTCGCCCGCGACTGCGATTTCCTCGTCCGCCTCG